TTGCCTTTGGATCCAGTCCTGGCTATTTTCCTCTCTCTGCTGTATCCTAGTAGTGTTAACATTGTTCCAGTGGCTTCTGGAGCAGCCAACATTGACCAACCAGAGCAGCAGAAGAAAAAGGGGGAGAGTGGTCCTGCAACTGGTTGGTAAGCCATCTAAAGGCGTGCGTTGTGGACTGCGTTAATTTCATAGTGCTGCCATCAGATATACCACTGATTCAGTGGCTTAAATCAATACAAATGTATTATTGGCAATTCAGTAGGTCAGAAAACTGAAATCGGTCCCACTGTGCTAAAATCGAGGTGTCAAGGAGACCATGTTCCCCTTTCTGGAGGCAGTAGGGCAGCGGTCCCCAACCGTTCTGGCACCAGGGACCGAATTCGTGGAAGACAATTTTTTCATGGACCACAAGCAGTTAGTGGGGGTGGTAGTTTCTGGATGATTCAAGCACATTACATTACTGTGCACTTTATTTCTCTTATTCTATTATTACATTTTATTTCTATTATTACATTGTAATATATACGGAAATAATTATACAACTTGTCATAATGTAGAATCAGTGGAATCCCTAAGCTTGCTTTCCTGCAACTAGATGGTCCCATCTGGGGTTGATGGGAGACAGTGACAGATCATCAGGCGTTAGACTCCCATAAGGAGTGGACAACCTAGATCCCTCGCATGCACAGTTCTCAATAGGGTTCATGATCCTGTGAGAATCTAATGCTACTGCTGATCTGACAGGAGGCGGAGCTCAGGCAGGAATGTGAGTGATGGGGAGCAGACGTAAATTCAGATGAAGCTTCACTTGCTTGCCCTCCACTCACTACTTGCTGCTCGGTCCAGTTCCTAACAGGCCATAGCCTGGGAGTTGAGGACCCCTGCCCTAGGGATCATCTATTTCCTTGTCCTTTTCAGCTTCTAGAGGCTGCTCACATCACATTTCTCAGTGCATAGCCCCTTTCTCTGTTTTCAAATCCAGGAACATTGCATCTCTCTCACCATTCTCCCATAATCACAGCTCCCTCTCTGATTCTTTTTTTTTTTTCAGATGAGGTCTTGCTCTGTTGCCCAAGTTGGAGTACAGTGATGCCAAAATCCTAATCCCCAGAAAGTGTGAGTATGTTATCATACATGGACAAAATGATTTTGCAGATGTGATCAAAATTAAGGACTTTGAGATGAGGGTATCATCTCAGGTTATCCAGGTGGGATATTATCCATAGCTCACTGCAGCCTCAACCCCCTGTGCTCAAGTGAGTATCCCTTTTCAGCCTCCCAAGTATCTAGGAATTACAGGCATGCACCATGATGCCTGGCTAATTTTTAAATTTTTCTTTTGTAGAGACAGTCTTGTTATGTTGCCCAGTCTTCTTTCAAACTCTTAGGCTGAAGCAACCCTCCTGCCTCAGCTTCCCAAAGTTCTGAGATTACAAGCATAGGCCACTGTGCCCAGCCTCTCTCTCTGACTCTAAACTCAGCTAGAAAAGTTTCTTTTAAGGACTTGTGTGATTAGGTTGAGCCCACCTGGATAATCTGAGATGATATCCTCATCTCAAAGTCCTTAACCTTAATCACATCTGCAAAATCATTTTGTCCATGTAAGATAACATATTCAAATGTTCTGGGGATTAGGATTTGGGCATCTTTAGGGGACCATTATTCTGCCCACCAAAGAGATGAACAGAAATATTTTGGGGTGAAATGATGCCAAAGGAGAAAGCAAGGTAGAAAAGAAGGGATTTGCCGCTGATGTTGGTATCCATGTGACCTCATGTCTAATTCAAACATTGATGAAGTCTGCCAACACTTGAGCTGTACTTAGAATAGAGTCATTTGCAGAAGATCAAAAAAAAATCCTGGAAAAAGAATAAGATAATCAAAGGGGTTGAGGGAAGCAATTTCTAGACTCTCAGATTAACTGCACAGTGGGGAGGGTAGAGGTGGAGAGGGTAGTGTGGGAGAGTTGTAGGGGGCAGTGTGAGGGTGGGAGGAGTTGCAGGCTCCCAGATATACCGTGAAATGTGAAAATGAATGGGGTGAAGAGAAGAAAAAAGCTGAAAAATATACATTTCCTTGTCTTTCATAAAAGAAAGCTAAGATAGCCTGGGTATGGTGGTTCACACCTATAATTTCAGCACTTTGGGAGGCCGAGGCGTATGGATCACCTGAGATCAGGAGTTCGAGACCAGCCTGGCCAACATGGTGAAACCCCCATCTCTACAAAAAATACAAAAAAAAAAAAAAATTAGCCAGGTGTGGTGGCGGGCACCTGTAATCCCAGCTACTCGGGAGGCTGAGGCAGGAGAATCGCGTGAACTTGGGAGACCGAGGCTGCAGTGAGCCAAGATCATGCCATTGCACTCCAGCCTGAGCAACAAGAGTGAAACTCCATTTCAGAAAAAAAAGAGAGAGAGAGAGAGAGAGACTTAAGATAACTAAGCTCTCCCCACCCCCCAAAAATTAGCAAAAACAGCTATTTTTTTTATTAGAGAGCTTAGTTATGGAGAGGTAATTTTGGCATTAATGTTTTAAGGGAATTCCTAGCAGAATCAAAAACTGCACGTTTATCTTTCAAATGAGTGACAAAGATGAAAACAAGTAGAGCATTGCCCAGACATCAGAAGGCCAAATAGAAGATTCAATAGCAGAGTATTAAAATACAGCATGAAATAGACTGACAGAGGCTGGATCCAGGAGGCACTTACCCCAATGATTTGTACCTAATGGTGTAAATTCCACTGCCAAGAAACAAAGACTCTCACACTACAGGACTGTATTTGTTTAACAAATTGTTGCTTGTGAAACATCTCGCTAAAGCTAAATGACCTCAAAAGTCTAAAAGCAAAGTTGAGAAAGGCAATATTAATTAAAACATAAAAGGTGACTTCTAGGGTAGAAAACAGTGACATAACATCCAAGCCAAAATTATTCACCATGACAAGCAGAAAAATTACCTATGATAAAAATCTATAATCAATAATACAATTTTGAGATTATCAAAGTTTTACTCTTTGAATCAATATAATAAATAAAATACAACCCTTGGGAAAGACATGAAAATCATAACCAGAGAATAATTTTTTTCCTGTTTTTTTCTTTTTTGAGACAGGTTGGAGAATGATTTTCTCAGCCTAGAGAAAGATTTTACTTGTTGTATGTTAATGACAAGGATACAAAAATTAAATATGGATATAAATGATATAAACAATAGCAATAAGTTAGATGGAATGAATAGGATAAGTTTTTTCTTTAATGAAAATATACCTTCTTTTCTTACATTTATGATTATTTATACAAATTGATTATATGATACACACTAAAAAGCACAAAGATTCAAAAAAGCAATCAATGAATATAGAATTTCAACAAACATTTTATTAAATAACAATTGTCTCGAAACTTAAGATTAAAACCACAGATTACTCAGAAAATAAGGAAACTTCTTTTTTTATTTTAAAACACTATAGAAACAGGCCGGGCGCGGTGACTCACCCCTGTAATCCCCGCACTTCAGGAGGCTGAGGCGGGAGGTCAGGAGTTCAAGACCAGCCTGGCCAACATGGTGAAACCCCGTCTCTGCTAAAAATACAAAAATTAACCAGGCATGGTGTCAGATGCCTATAATCCCAGCTATTCAGGAGGCTGAGGCAGGAGAATCACTTGAACCTGGGAGGCGGAGGTTGGAGTGAGCTGAGATCACACCACTGCACTCCAGCCTGGGCAACGGAGTATGACTCTGTCTCAGAAACACACACACACACACACACACACACACACACAAAATAATCCTCACCACCGAAACCACTATAGAAACCTATATTCAGTCATGCGTCACATAATGACACTTGGACCAGTGATGAATTGTGTCTATGACAGTGCTCCCATGAGGAGATAATAATGTATTTTTGCTGTTTCTTTTCTGTTTAGATACACAAATGTCATTGTGTTACAGTCGCCTACAGTATTCAGTGCAGTCATGTGCTGAATAGATTTGTAGCCAAGGAACAATGGGCTATACCACTAGGTGTGTGGTTGGCCCTACCATCTAGCCTTGTGTAAGCTCATTCTGTGATGTTCACACAGTGATGGAATTGCCGAACAAAGCATTTGTCAGAAAATATCTCTGTTCTCAAGTGATGAATGACTGCAATGTGGTCAAAGCAGGACTCCAAAATAAATTCTTAGCTTTGAATATTTCATAATAAAAGGTGAAAACAAAATGAAGCATTCTAACTAAAATTTTAAAATAAATAATTATAGTGTCTACTTAAACAACATGAGACCATGAAACTCAGCAATAAATATTTTAGAAAAGACTAACAGAATAACTAAAATACTAGTTATTTTAGTATAAAATATTACACTAAATATAAAATAAAAGGGTAATAAAATAATATTAATAATATTAATTAGTAAATAAATAGTAATCAATATTAAATAAAATATACTAAATACAATACTAAAATAACTGGGGCCGGGGATGGTGCCTCACACCTGTAATCACCTTCGGGAGGCCTAGGCAGGTGGATCACTTGAGGTCAAGAGTTTGAGACCAGCCTCACCAACATGGTGAACTCTCTACTAAAAATACAAATGTTAGCCTGGCCTGGTGGTGCACACCTGTAATTCCAACTACTTGGGTGGCTGACACAGGAGAATTGCTTGAACCCAGGAGGCAGAGGTTGCAGTGAGCAGAAATCACACCACTGCACTCCAGCCTGGGCAACAGAGTAAGACTCCATCAAAAAAATAAAAATAATAATAATAACTAAAACACTAGCAATTTTCAAAACATGAGAGAAAAAAAGGAGGTGTAACAATAGAAAATAATAATGCACTTTTATTGCATTATTATAAATGCAATTATGAGGTGTACATAATTATATTCTAAAATTATGAAACATCTTAATGAGATGTATTAGTTTTACATAACATAAATTGATAATGGCAAATTGATATAAGATCAAATAAGAACTTGAAATTATACTAAGAAGCTTACACAGTATGGCTGGCGACATTAGCTAGCGCTCGCTCTACTCTCTCTAACGGGAAGGCAGCTGAGTACAAGAGACTGAACTGTGTCTGCCTCTATTTCCAAAAGACTCACGTTCAACTTTTGCTCACACAAAGCTGGGAAATTTTTATTAGTCCTTTAAAAAAAAGTTAATATAAAATTATAGCAAAAAAAAAAAAAAAGGAACCTGAACTTTAGTAAAACAGCTGGAACAATACGCAGCGGCAGCGGCAGCGGCAGGAGAAGAGGTTTAATTTAGTTGATTTTCTGTGGTTGTTGGTTGTTCACTAATCTCACGGTGATGGAAGCTGCACATTTTTTCGAAGGGACCAAGAAGCTGCGGGAGGTTTGCTTCTCCCGGCAGCAGCCCGATGCGAACCAAGGATCTGGGGATCTTCACACTATCCCAAGATCTGAGTGGGACATACTTTTGAAGGATGTGCAATGTTCAATCATAAGTGTGACAAAAACTGATAAGCAGGAAGCTTATGTACTCAGTGAGAGTAGCATGTTTGTCTCCAAGAGACGTTTCATTCTGAAGACATGTGGTACCGCCCTCTTGCTGAAAGCACTGGTTCCCCTGTTGAAACTTGCTAGGGATTACAGTGGGTTTGACTCAATTCAAAGCTTCTTTTATTCTCATAAGAATTTCATGAAGTCTTATCACAAAGTGTACCCACACCAGAATTTCCAGGAAGAAATAGAGTTTCTTAATCCAATCTTCCCAAATGGAGCAGCATATTGTATGGAACGTATGAATTCTGTCTGTTGGTACTTACATACTCTGGATTTCCCAGAGAGTCGGGTAATCAGTCGGCCAGATCAAACCTTGGAAATTCTGATGAGTGAGCTTGACCTAGCAGTTATGGACCAGTTCTACATGAAAGATGGTGTTATTGCAAAGGATGTCACTCGTGAGAGTGGAATTCGTGACCTAATACCGGCTTCTGTCATTGATGCCACAATGTTCAATCTTTGTGGGTATTCAGTGAATGGGATGAAATCGGATGGAACTTATCGGACTATTCACATCAACTCCAGAAACAGAATTTTCTTATGTTAGCTTTGAAACACACCTAAATCAGACCTCGTAGGAAGACCTGGTCAGGAAAGTTGTAGAAGTCTTCAAGCCAGGAGAATCTGTGACCACCTTGTTTGGTTATCAGAGTTCTAAATGTCGCACAGAGCTTGCTTCGCCCCAGAAGATAGAAGGTTTTGAGCATCTTGATTGCCAGAGTGCTATGTTCAATGATTACAATTGTGTTTTTATCAGTTTTGCTAAGAAGCAGCAACAACATCAGAGTTGATTGAGAAAAAAGAAGAAAAAATGCAAAAAGAGAACACATGTAGAAGGTGGTGGATGCTTTCTAGATGTCGATGCTGGGGGCAGTGCTTTCTATAACCACCACTCTGCAGGTGCAGAAAGCCCTCGATGTAATTACAGCATAATCATTTTGAATTGTGTGCATTTTTATATCAAGGAGTTAGATCTATCTTGCATGAATGCTGTCTTCGGAGTTTAGGTATTCTCTGCCACTCTTGCTGTGAAATTGAGGTGCATGTAGAAAAAACCTTTTACTATAGGAAACTTTACAACACTTGTGAAAGCAACTCAATTTGGTTTGTGCACAGTGTAATATTTCTCCAAGTATCACCCAAAATTCCCCACAGACAAGGCTTTCATCCTCATTAGGTGTTGGCCTCAGCCTAACCCTCTGGGACTGTTCTATTAAATTGCTGCCATGATTTTACATCCAGTTACCTCCACTTTCTAGAACACATTCTTCACTAATGTTATTGAAATCAATTTCTACTTCATACAGATGTTTTTTGAAACAGCGATTAAAGTTTTTCTTCCATGAGTTGAGTCCTTAAGAAAATGATTCCAGTTACACATTTTGCATATTTACTATTTTAACATTATTGGACCCTGCATTTGTAGTCCTTTGTTGTCTTCCCTCTTCCTGGTGTCTCCCCCAGGACCCCAAATAAAGCAATACACTGTTAACACTGTGGGTTTATGTACTAATTCTATACCCCAGATGGGGAATGGGGGAGATAGTCCCTGGGCTTAATATTCTTTAAAGGGCATGGCAATTTAGCCTCCTTTTTATTGTAATGTGCTCTTTTGGGAAACAGTTGATTAGCAGGGAAGACTCAGAGTTGTACATTGAGATTAGGATGTACTAGCTGAACTGTGGAAAACATATACAATTCTCTGTTCCTCAGTAAATGAGATTAGCATCTAATGAGTAGCACACCTTTACTAACTTACTAAGTAGTAGTGTAAAATGATTTTTATTTAGTTAACTGCCAGAGAGATTAAACGTAATTTTGCTCTGGAGTCAGTAAATCAAGTCAGCTGGGATCATTCACCTTAACTTTTCCTTTAGCAGCTATTTCCGCTAGTTTCCACTAAGTAGTGTTCTATAAACTTTGATCCAAAGCAGAACCAATGTCTTTTCCATCTTGTGACTTGAAGTTCTGAGACTGTGATGCATGTGAGTGTTCTGACTTCATCTGTTCCTCTAAGGTGTTTCCCTCACCATGGCATTCATAGGATGAAATGAATGACTGCCCAGAATGAAAATTTGTCCACATTATTTAGATAAACATCATGAAGCAGAAGACATGAACAAATAAGTAGAACATAAATAAAATTGCAAAATACTCAATGGGAAATGACTAGTAATATAGGCTTTCAAGAGTTGGTACCTTTTAGCTATATTTGCAGATAATCTGGGATTTTAAGGAACTGAGAAAACAGCAAAGTTGACTGAATTTTATGTTTCTTGTCCTCTAAATATTTTGATAGTTTCTGGATTGATGCAGTGATGTTTTTGTTCCTTCCATATTTATAAATGAAACACCTTTTTAAAGTGTTTCTAAACCTAAAATCTACTTGGTTTGAAATCAAGTGGTTGGAACACTGCTTAACTTTTATTTGAAGCATGTTGTTGACTGAAAGTTTCGTTAAGAAAGTTTTCAATCGGCCGGGCGCGGTGGCTCAAGCCTGTAATCCCAGCACTTTGGGAGGCCGAGACGGGCGGATCACGAGGTCAGGAGATCGAGACTATCCTGGCTAACCCCGTCTCTACTAAAAAAATACAAAAAACTAGCTGGGCGGGGTGGCGGGCGCCTGTAGCCCCAGCTACTCGGGAGACTGAGCCAGGAGAATGGCGTGAACCCGGGAGGCGGAGCTTGCAGTGAGCTGATATCGGGCCACTGCACTCCAGCCTGGGCGACAGAGTGAGACTCCATCTCAAAAAAAAAAAAAAAGAAAGTGTTCGATCAGTTTGATTCTGTAATAAGCACAGCACCTAATATTTTGAAGAGCTCTGTTTTTAGGACCAATGCTTAAGGTGGACTTTGTTCGTAAACAATATCCCAATAGATTTGTTGACTTGAGGTCTGTTCTTTTTCCCTAATAGAATTAAGAATTCTAATGTTGAAAAACTGCACAAATTTGGGACAAAGCCTAGAAAACAGAAATGTAGATTGAATCATAATCTAAATCATGGTATGATAGAAGAGGGAATGTTTTGGTGCCATAATTTCTCCTTTCACTAGTGTTGGACTTAAATCAGTTGAAATGTATTTCTACACCACAATTTATGCTTCAATAAAAGTTTGTCTATTGACATTCAGAAACTTTTCTGTTGTCCTGTTTTTTAAAATAGTCTGCTTGACCAAATACTATATATCTGAAGTTTAAAATCAATATAACAATGTGTATTTGTGAGTTTGGAGTTAGAGAAAGGTTTAAAGTGTTAGGTCCCAACCTTTATTATAGACTAGATTCTTAAAACATTGGTTGAGAATCATCAAACTATGAATTTCCTTATTTCATTCATGGTTATTTCTGTTAAGCAGGAAAAATTTATAAGCTTGATCATTTTCTTTATTTTTTTAACTTAGGATCTTGTTCTGTTGTCCAGGCGGGAGTGCAGTGGTTGTTCACAGGTGCGATCATAGCATACTGCTTCCTTGAACTCCTAGGCTCAAGCAGTCCTGCTGCAGCTTCCCAGGTAGCTGGGACTGCAGGCTTCTGCCATCACGCTTGGCTTTGTCATTTTCTTTATTTGGCAACATTTTAGTTCTACAGTCAAATGTGCAATAAGCTGAAAATCTTTCTCAGATCTTTCTCAGAATATGCTTCAGTTAGAAAATATTTCCTCAATTGTCATTAAAAACAGATAGTGTTCCTAGAAAAGCAAAATATTACACATCTGTGCAATATGTAATTCACAAGATTCATTTGCCACAAACAGGTGAGTGAATTTGGGGGTTCATTAGTAAGCAGTCATCAAGCTTCCATCATAGACACATAAGTGGAAATGTGATATTATTTTATTCTCTTGGATGGATGATTGCGATGGATTTGATGGGTTCCAGGCCTCGGGCTTTACAATCTCATCCACTTTGCCCTTCCTCTTGTCATAATGGAAGAGGTGCTGCTAGTTTGGATTCCATCCTTTCCTCCTTTCAGAGACTGTCCTGTGATTTCCTAAAACATTTCCATTAGTTTGTTTCAATTTTCTGATTTTCTTCCCTTAGGGCCCTCCACAGGCCTCTGTGGTAGTGCCTTGAATGATGGCAAGTGTCCAAAAAATTTTTCTTTTCTTTTTGAGACATTCTTGCTCTGTCACCCAGGCTGGAGTGCAGTGGCACGATCTCGGGTCATTGCAACCTCCACCTCCCAGGTTCAAGTGATTCTCGTGCCTCAGTCACCCAAGTAACTGGGACTACAGGTATGCGCCACCACACCCAGCTAATTTTTGTAGTTTTAGTAGAGACAGAGTTTCACCATGTTGGCTAGGCTGGTCTTGTCTCCTGACCTTGAGCGATCCACCTACCTTTGCCTCCCAGAGTGTTGGAATTACAGTCATGAGCCACCGTGCCTGGTCAAGTGTCCAAATTCTTATTCCAAAACTGAACTTTGGGCTGGGTGCCATGGCTCACACCTGCAATCTGAAAAGTTTGGGAGGCTGAGGTGGGAGGATTGCTTGGGCCCAGGAGTTTGAGGCCAGCCTGGGCAACATGGCAGGCCCCTGTCTCTACAATAAATAAAAGGAGGTTGAGGCTGCAGTGAGCTGTGTTCACAGGGCTGTATTCCAGTCCAAGCAAAAGTGAAACTCTGTCTTAAAACAAAAATCATGACTTGTGCAATAGCCACCGTTTTCCTGGATTCTCAACAGAATCCTATGGTGAAATTTGAAATGCAAAGCTTGAGGTATGTGACTTCAAGATAATAAGAAAACCATCAAACAGACTTGTCAAGGGGTGTCTGATAAATTGTTGGATATTTGGCCTAGGGACCCAGACGATTGATTTTAGATTTGTAAACATCTTAATATGGAGGTTTTTTGTTTGTTTGTTTGTTTGTTTGTTTTAGATAGAGTCTCACTCTGTCGCCAGGCTGCAGTGCAGTGGCACAATCTTGGCTCGCTGTAGCCTCCACCTTCTGGGTTCAGTTGGTTCTCCTGCCTCAGCCTCCTGGGTGGCTGGGATTGCAGGTGCGCGCCACCATGCCCAGCCAATTTTCTGTATTTTTAGTAGAGACAGGATTTCGCCATGTTGGCCAGGCTGGTCTTGGGCTCCCGACCTTGGGTGGTCCGCCTGCCTCGGCCTCCTACAGTGCAGGGATTGCAGGCATAAGCCACCGCACCCAGTCTTAATATGGAGAATTTTCAAACATATAAAGTAAACAAAATGATACACTAAACGTTTATATACAAGTTCCAACACCACCATTCTAATTAGGCATATCTGTCTAGTGACTACATGCCCTTTTTAGATAAAATTTATTTAAATTGAAATACATAAATCTGACTGGGCATGGCGGCTCACGCCTGTGATCCCAGCATTTTGGGAGGCTGGGGTGGGTGGATCACCTGGGGTCAGGAGTTCGAGGCTAGCCTGGCTAGCGTGATGAATCCCCGTCTCTGCTGGAAGTACAGAAATTGGCTGGGAATGGTGGCGCATGCCTGTGGTCCCAGCTGCTCAGGAAGCTCAGGCAAAGGAATTGCTTGGGCCCAGAAGGCGGAGGTTGCGGTGAGTCGAGATTGCCACTGCACTCCAGCTTGGGTGACAGAGTGAGACTTCATCTCAAAAAAATATATATATTTTATATATATATACATAAATCTAAGCTATAATTTTGGTAAATTGTTCTCCTTCGCTCACACCTTACCACGACAAAAGGAGCTCACTTATCTCTACCCAGGCAATTAAGCAATCTCCACCACCACCATGCTCAAATGTTTTCATCATAGACTAGGGTTCATTTTCATTTCCTTCCCTGGAA